CCCCAAAACCCCAAAACCCCAAAACCCCAAAACCCCAATATAAAAATTCAAAGACTTATAAACTAAATACAAATTAATGATATGATAGCAATTCTATTATCAATATTATTTTCAAGAGGTCCATGCACTATTACCTGATGTCTTACCTCCAAGGATAGCCTCTTCGCTTTTATCGATAAATTCTTTTTTCTCTTTTTCTTTAGATGACCCAATAATTCCTCCTATAAGTGCCATTAATTGAGTGTTAAATAGCTGACTAAGTTCATTAGCTCCTCCTGATTTTGTTAGCATTGAATAATTAGCGAATCTAATACTCACTGATTTTTCCAGAGCCTATCTTTCCTTCTCTTCATCATTTTCATCATTTTCTTTATTATCCTCTTCTTTATCCTCAAAAGTTAAGAACTATCGGTTTTTCTTCTCTATTGGTAAAAGATACTAATGTATCTCATCAGATTAATTTAATGCTCTTAATATCTATCGAATTTTATCAATGCTTTTACTGTAAGCCTCAGGAACTTTATTGCAAATTTTAGCTAGTAAAATAAGTACTACTTTAATTTTTTCCTCCATCATATCATTTCCTATTGCTTTTGCAAAGTGTTTTTTAAATATCTCATTATCGGAATTAAAAGTTGACTTTGCAATTATCAGATAGAGCTAGCGCTATCTAAAATTCTTCGAAAGTCTCAAAGCATCAAGAAAAGTAGTGAAAGATTTCCTATATTTTTTACTCTTTATCAAAGGAGCAACTACTTTAGATCCAAATATCTTGCAAGCTCTCTTTTTATACTATATCGCCTAATCATTTTCTATTATTTGCATTAGGTTAAGGTGAAATTCTTAGTCAGCTAAGAATTATGGATTAAATAGCTCATAGATTTATTCAAGCAGTGCAATTTTACTGTCTCTTTATTTTTATTACATATTGCCTAATTACTCTCTGATTAGAGTGGTAACCAGATACTAATGCTACTCTTGTGGATATAATGATACAAATTTGCATAGCTCAGGAGTCACTTTTGATTTTATATCCTCAATATCACTCAAGTAATTTGTCACTACTTCAATAAAGAAACTTTAATTATCAAGTTATTACATATCAACTAGCTTCACTACTTCTACTAAACTACTAGCCAGAGATTTTCTAACTGTTAAGAGTATGTCTTTATATATCTTTGAATAAATAACTTTAATTTTTGTTTCCCAATAAGATTACCCTCCATTGATTGTCAAAGCACATCCTATGAAAAATGCCCAATAATATTTGATCTTATCTACATCATCATTCTAGTTACCCATGAATGATTAGCAAATGGATTAGTCATCTTCACTTTATTAGATGAATTTTAAGTCGTAGAATAGATTGAAGCTATTATGAATGAAACCTTGAAGTTAAACCTTGATAGAACTATCTTCAATCAAAGCTATTTTCTCATAAATTTCGTTTAAAACATATCCAAATTATTGAAAAGCTTAGTTTTTTACCCAACGACTTTGATCATTAAGACATTACTAGAGGAATATAACACATTGTTGTAGTCTTTAGATTTCATTAGGTCTAATTAATTTAACGAAATCTTGTAGTTTTTCAACACATACTTTCTTTACTCCCCAGATATCATCTGAAGTAAATCTGACAAATACAGAATAGACGTTTTCAACAAATTTGTCATATGGAATATGTTTAGCAACAGCCAACAAGCAGGGCAGCAAGAACTTCTTTATTTTGAAAAGCATTCCTCTTTAAATGTCTGGCAAGAAATCATCCAAAAACATTAAACATTAATATTCTGTAAAGATAGACTCTTCAGCAAACCTTTCTACAATCATTAGGATTGAAATCTTTGCACCCTCTGATTAGTCTACCTTTTTCATTATGCTTTAAACAAGGTCGAAAACTAGATATTAGCTATCTTTTAGTTGCAAAAAGTCCTTTGATACTTTTAAAAGAGCATCCACCCCCTCAGTTTAAACTTACTCCTCAGAATTGATCATCATTTTTGCGATCAGCGGAAATACTTAAATATTCAATAAATCAACTGCATCCTGAGAGTCTTTCTATAATGGATTAAATACTCAAGAATAATCATACAGCACTCTTCACTAGCTTTTAGAATAGAAAAGGAATCTTTTAAAAGAATTAAAGCTTCAAGAATTCTTGTTCATTAGAGTATATTTCAAGTACTGGTATTATGTATTATACTACTTCCTCATAAGTAAGAATTTTAGTGATACTCTCAAAGTCAGACAAAAACATTTCTCTATTATCAATCATATAAATTTAGAAACTTACCTATCAGTCAAAGAGTACTTTCCAAATATGTCTGCCAACCTCTTTAGTTCATCTAATAAAACCTGTTTTGGTGTTCTTTAGTCCTCTTCGAATACATCGTCATGATCACTATCGCTTGATGAGGAATTGTTTCCTGAGCTTTTTGAAGAAGTAATCAATTCTCTAGTTTTGCCGCCTTATCCTTTAGAACTATCAGCAGAAGTATTGTTAGCACTTGAGTTTGAGTTTTTCTCGGCTAACTCTTCATTTTCGATGTGCTTTTTAATAAATTCATCGATGTCATCAGAATATTCACCACTTCCCTCTAATTGAGCGACTATTTTTTAGGCTGCTGTCTTTTACTGGTCTTACTACTTTAGTGCTTAATTGCTGTGCTTAGTTCTTAGAGGTTGATTTAAAAGTTCCTGAAGATACTGTGAGTCCTTTTTACCTATACTGGAATTAAGGTATATCTCTTCATCTACTATGTGATCATCATCTTCTTCATCAGTGTATTTATTATTATTCTCTTATTCTTCCTCTGCTTGATTTTCAAAGTCATCATCCTCATACTCTTCTTCCAATTCAATAGTCCCAGTATTACTTTTTTGATCTTTGACTAAAATACCTCCTGATTCTCCTAATGTTTTTTACTGATATTCATGAGCACCCCAAGATTCCTCTAAAGATTTTTACTATTTGGTTGCACTTTTTTTATTATCAGCTCCATTATTGTTAGTTTACGATCCAAGCATATTCTCATATTTCTAAATTATTTTATTCAGATCATCTGAATTATCTAAGTCTAGTGAATCTCCTATAGCACCACCACTGCCACTTCCACTTTCTACACAATTATCCTCTTCATCTTCAACTTCTTGAGGAATGGAATTGTGTCTTGAGTTCTTCTAATTTGCATCAATAGCGACTTCATCTTCTATCTCATAACTGTCTAAGTCTAAACTCCCAGATAAAGATAGTAGAGATTCCTTATTACTATTATTGAGATTAATGTCCTAGATACTACTGTTTTTACTGAAATTTAAGTCTTTATTGTATTGAACTTGCTATTATATCTTCTTAGGCTTCTCGGGCTAGCTAGCTTCCTAATCAAAAAGAATTTCATCTACTTGATCGAACAGGCTTTTATCAGTCCATGATGAAAACTTGTTTGTTTCTTTTAAGGGTGGAAGATTACTGGTAGAATTAGATTTTGCACTTGAACTAACGAGCATTGAGTTCGAAGAATTAGTAGTGCTAGACCAATTGGAGGCTCTATTAAACTGCATGGATTTCTAGATATTATAATTGGAATTGTTTTCCTTTTCCCTATTCATAATTTCTTAATTTAAATTTAATGTTTCAACTAATGAATTAATTGTTCTGACTCAACTTTATAATATTAATAAATCATGTCTTTCTAAACATACTCATATGTCTTCAAATTTATTGTTGTTGGAGACTCAAGTAATTCTTTCGCATTGTAAACCAATTTAGGTGTTGGAAAATCTTGCCTATTGCTTCAATTCACAGATAAAAGATTCAAAGCTACTCATGATTTAACCATTGGAGTAGAATTTGGCTCAAGAACTATCACTGTCAATAATCAAAACATTAAACTTCAGATATGGGACACAGTAAGTCAAGCATAATTTCTAGGAAAGATATTACCTTTAATAATCTGATTCAGAGAGATGATCAATATTAATTCGTTTAGGCTGGACAAGAGTCATTTAGATCTATTACAAGAAGTTACTATAGAGGTTCAATCGGTGCCTTGTTGGTCTATGATATCACAAAGAGACAATCATTTGAGAATTTAGTCAGATGGCTTGAAGAAATGAAAGAAAATGCTTACTCTAAAATGACTATCATTGTTGTTGGAAACAAAGCAGACCTTGAAAATGAGTAATTAGCAGATAATCATAATGCAATAATAGGAGAGAAGTTAGTTTCGAAGAGGGCTAATAATTTGCAAAGAAGAATAATGTTATGTTCTTTGAGACTTCCGCAAAGACTGCTATGAATGTTGATGATGCTTTTTTGACAACTGCAGGTATAATTGCTAAAAATATCGAAAAAGGAGAATATGATTTAAGCAACGAGGTAATTAAATCGATTCATAACTTTACTATTTCAGAGTATTGGTATTAAGCCAGGCAATGCTCTACCCAGTCATATTCAGAAATAAGCAGACCAAAATAACTAAAAGAAAAAAGTATCAGCATAAAGATAGATTTCTGATGATCGTAACAAGTCCAATTCTTGCTGCTGAAAAATTGATCAAAATTGAAGCATCATCATCTTTATAGAAATGACAAGATGACTTATATTGCATAATCAAAAACGAAGTCAAATTTAATAATCAATATTTCTGTGTGTGCATTTATTTTATCATTGCAGTTCTATTCTAGCTTACTGGGGTTTTGGGGTTTTGGGGTTTTGGGG